TCGCCGAGGGTTTTCTTTCTTGAGCCTTTAGAATAGGTCCATATTTGGTTCTAAGCCATTTCAAAATTGGTGCTGCTGTCCTGAGTGATATCTGCTTACCATCGACAGTGTCTCTGGAGTGTGGGGTCTGTGGGGCATTTGATTTTAGCTGGAGAATGGTGTTCTCCTCATCATCTCTGATAAGTGAGTCCGAGGTCTGGTTGGAGTCTGTGCTCTGTGTTCTTGACACATTCACATTGGATTGAGATTCCTTGTACTCAGCAGTTCTAAGAGGCCTCCTCTTTACAGTTTGAACCAGTGTTAGTGTGTATGGAGCGAGGGACCAGTAATCAATGTAGTGGGTGGAACCTGTGGCTTGTGTGGTTTCAAGTGCTTCTGATTCATTTTCACTTGGATCATCAGACGCCTGACTCTTATCAAACTTCCTCCTGATTGCATCTCTTCTCTGAACCTTAATCTCCCGTTTCTTTTTTGCGGGAGTTTCTTCTTGTTCAGACCGCCTCTTGAGTGTCTTATCCAAGTTCTGCAGTAACTGCGTGGCCACCATAGATTCAGAAGAACCTGCGGAGACCACGGTCTGAATCCAGTCTGCGTACAATTGAAGAATTGGCCTGTCTGTGGTGTTTGCATAGGTATTGTCAACATGTTTTGCTAAAATGCTTTCACAAAGGTCTGTTCCTCTTCCAAGACTCTTTGCTATGTTGGAGTTAGCTAGCACCAACTCATTATTATAAATGTTATAACACACAAATGAGATCGGGGCCTGTTCCATGCCTTCAACCTGAAAGTTTTGTCTGCACAACAAATCTTCAGTCCAAATACGGACATTCATGTCAGACGATAAGCTGATGAACATTTTGTCCTTGTGATTGTATCGAATGTGAGTAACAGGTTTGGTGTGTCCTTTGAGTTCACACACACAGGACAGGGTTCTGTTGGGTAACCATAGCCGCAACAGGCCATCAGAACCACCGGTCAGCAAATACCCTAGAGGGCAGTATTCAACACACCTGAAGAACTCGTCATTTCCTTTGCACTCAAAGACTTTCTTTTTGACTCTGCTAGTGCGTGAAGTAGGGAGGACCATTAGGGCCATGATCTTGTGATTAGCACCACAGATGACAAATGAATCGATCAAGGGAACATAGTCAACCCTCTTGCATATATCGTAAAAAATGTGCACTTTCACGCACAGAAATTCATTAAACGCTCTCTTTAGAAGCTTTGGAACATAAATAGTAGG